AGATTTTTGTGGCCTAGCATATGTGCTGATTCCTTAAGTTTACGAATTTTCCAATGGTGTTCCTTGTCTATGATCTCAACTTGATCCCACAGAAGGCGGTGATCTCCCTTCTCTCTCCATATGTGGTCAGCCATGCCTGATTTTTCCACTTCCCCTCGTGTTGCAGCTTTCTGGCGTTCTTGAAGCCTTACCTTGAGGGGACGGCCTGTCTCTCCTTTATATTCCTTTCCGCAGCTGCACGGTATAGCGTACACACAATCTTTAGTCATGTTCTCCTCTATGGGGGGGTCTTACTCGGGAAAGATATCTGCGAAGCTTTTGAAGGTTGTCCTGATGTTATATGGACCGCAGATCCTTCACAGATATCTCTCCCGAATGAAAAAAGAATGTTAACAACAAATACTTTTTCACGCCCAACCCAGTTCTGCGGAATCAGAATCAACGTTGAGTTTAAGCAAGTGAATGAGCCAATTGGAGTAAAGTGCCATGCAGATTTAAATTTTTCCCACTTGTGATGAATGCAGCTATCGATTTTTTTTTTTTTTTTTGCATGCTAGAATTCGTGTCAATCACCTGTTGGCTCCCACGCTGGCCAATAGAATCTTCCTGACTATTCGTGGCAACCAGCTACAGGCTCTCCCTCTGGCCAGTAGAAAATGGCTGCAAACTACATGAAAACTGCCGTAGAAGCATGATTATTTCCCCTATCGATGGGAGTTGGGAAATGCAAAGTCGTTCTTAGCCTTCCCACTAACTTGGAGCATGTGCATGTAAATTTTGGTGCAAATCCGTCGAAAATTGCGGCCGTGCATTCGTTACACACACACATCCTGCCTGTTATATATATATATATATATATAGAGAGAGAGAGAGAGAGAGAGAGATAGATATATTGTGTATATTTAGGCAGCGATTTTTCATTAATGCATGTTTCATTAGATTGGATTTAAACATATATCAATATGGTGATTTCCTTTCGTCTTTCAATATTTCAATGACAATATGAAAGAAACTTAAAATAAATAGACAAAACTTGTCTATATTATTTAATGAAGGATGCATCAATGATATATATACATATATATATACATATATATATATATATATATCATTAATGCATGTTTCATGAAATAATGTTATATATATACATTAATTTTATCTTTATTTGTTATCATCTTTCTATTATGTTTTCAAAACATGTGTGTGTGTGTGTGTGTGTGTGTGTGTGTGTGTGTGTGTGTGTGTGTGTGTGTGTGTGTAATTGGGCAGCAATCCATCTTTTATACAAGTTTCGTTAAAAACGCCTGACGAGGTACTGCGGTTAAATTTTTGCATTTCATTTTTCTTTTCTGAACATAAATTATGTAGAAATTATCCGATAATTTTTTGAAAGAATACTTTTTGAAAGAATACAGAGAATTTCGGCTAGATAGAAAAAAAAAAAATTCTTACAGATAACATTCTTTCAAAAGTTTTGAAACTAGCAGCACCTCTCGTTTCGTGCGCATGTGTAGACGTGGCAACGTCGACAAAGCCCAGTCCGATGAAATTCTAACAGACAGAAAGAAAAATGCGCACTAGACGCCCGCCGACATAATCAACCAAATCCGCATAGACCATTCATCCCCCCACAATTTTCGACCTTTTGGTACAAAAACACACATTACTAATACACACAAACGCTACAATATGACAAAAATAACATATGGTCAAATTAACCAATGAAAAACAAAGAACGCGAAAATAACAATAACTGAATTTTCTTTTCTCTTCCATATTTCATTTTCTGATGAAGCTTAAACAAAAGTGAAACATGTTAAATTTATAAATGTTTCCTATTTTTTCTTATGCAATCATTCTAATCCACATTTGAGCCATATTTGATCCTGATTCGTATATATATATATATATATATATATATATATATATAAATATTTGTTTGTTTGTGTGTGTGTGTGTGTGTGTGTGTGTCTGTGTGTGTGTGTCTGTGTGTGTGTCTCTGTGTGTGTGTGTGTCTGTGGATAGTCCCAGGTTATATTATAAAAATTTTTATACAATGAAAAAATTAAATGAATTACTTTTTGAATCACCTTTAATGAAACATGTATTAGTTGATTAGTCTGCTTCCATCCATACAATATATATATATATATATATATATATATATATATATATATATTTTAAATATTGTATAGAAAAGTATGCCTTTAAATATACATGTTTGTTTTAAAATATGATATATATATATATATATATATATATATATATATATATATATATATATATATATATATATATATACATGTTTCATTAAACATGATTATACAATATATATATATATATATATATAGATAGATAGATAGATAGATAGATAGATATTGTATAGATGGGAAGCAGACCCTCTCTAATACATGTTTCATTAAAGGTGATTCAATAATTATATATATCTATATATCTATATATATATATATATATATATATATATATATATATATATAGCATTAACTCGTGTCTTAATTATAATAGTGAATGCCCTCAACGATATAAGTTAGCCGTTATAAAAAAACTTAACCCAAAGCACACAAATGATATTCTGTCAAGAATTACATATCATTAAACAAACACTTGTTAATATTAGATTCCCAAATTCTGTCAGTGATCAACCAATTAAAATGTATCTCAATAAACTTAATAATGCCTCTAACAAAATTGATAATATTATTAATAATAGTGTACGACAAAATAAACATAACACTATTAATTCATTGTAATCAAATGCATAATAATTACAAACCTGATGAAACAACTGTCACAAACATAAAAGGTAGAAATGTTAAACACATTAATAATAATAAACAAGTTAAGGTCATCATATATTATAAAAAAATTTAAACCAATTGACCTCAGAGTCTCTAATAACCGTACAACCACACGACTAAATCCTCTACAAAAAAAATTATTATTATTAAAATACACCTTTAAATGTCGAATCTAGATGCGTCGTCAGTGTTGTTGCTCCCATGTCACTAGAAGTTTCGGGTCTAAATAAACAACAGACTACTTCGATGGGCGACCCGACCGAATATGATCAGTATTCGGCCCGCACCTAGAACAAAAAATTGCCACTAGCTTTAGGACGTGCTTTATATAAGTTGCCCCAGCAAACAACAACAAATCAAGACTTCAATTAGGCTATTCGAAGTTATAGATTAGGTATGCATGGTTGTAGTGATCTTCCTACATGCGGCCAGATAAGATGTTTTTTTTTTTTTATATAGAAGAAAACAAACCAATAAAAACACACACACAACACACACACACACACACACACACATTTATATATATATATATATATATATATATATATATATATATAAATATATATATATATATATATATATATATATATAAACACTTTTAAGGTCGATGGAGAATTGTAGTTTAAAAACAGTAAAAATCAAAAAGGCTAACCGAAACGCTCCTCTGTGGCTAAATCGGTAAAGCACGTCAGGCTATATCACGGTTCCGTATAGGATACAGGTTCGATTCCTGTCGGAGGACGCATATTTTCTATGAAAATTTCTCAAGGACATTAAGGCCGGTAAATGTCGTTACTACTGTTTATTATACACAGAGCCTTTTTCATATATTTGTAACTATAAAAAGAACATATAAGCATAAAAAAATGTCTTAATATATATATATATATATATATATATATATATATATATATATATATACTTATTAATATTATTAATAATATTGGACACCTGTAGTACAAAAACTATTTACTGTGAATCCCAGAAAAACACACTCCAGGGCTGTTAGAAGAAACACCACATAGTAGGAACTGATATTAAACTACAAACAACAAATCCTGGCCATAAATAAACTCCAAACCCAGACCGCTTCCCCCGGGATAAGATACCTTACGCCTCTAACAATCACTAATACAAGCCCACTCTCATTAACACGGCGTCTACGAGAGGAGGACTGGCATTGAAAATAAGTTTAAAACAATGTTCCGAGGCAGACACTAAGATACTGATGATAGCCATATAGAGAACGGCTTGAAATAGACTATACCTATGTTGAGGTAATTTGGGGGAGGGGGCTGTAAAAAATACATATGTTCTGTTAAAAAAACAAAAAAAAACAAGGTGTTTTGGCTTGTAAATGAACAAACCAATACCCAAGGAAAAATAAGGAATAAAAAAAAGAACTAAGAACATGTAATTCAGGCGAAAACAATCGACCAAAATCCAAGCTCAGAGTCCAAAGAAAAAAAAACCTCTAACACGAGTAAAGCAAAAATATATATATGATATTTCATCAATTTTAGTTGAAATCTAACTATGAACCTAAAGTTCTATGCAGTTTTCTTTTCTCCTTTTCAGATCGTGGAACTTTCTTCCGGCTTCATACTTTTGAGCTATCTTTGATCTTCAAAAATTAAAATGCAATGTCAATCGCTATCTACCTGATTACTCGTCTGTTCTTCTCGTATCTAAATGTTTCTCTTTTTTCCTGTTATTTTCACAGCCAGTAACCACCTTGTGTCTTAGTAACTATTTTTCTCTGTCTTTAAAATTTTTAGTCTATCTCAATCTCTCTTTTTCTTATATCATCTATTTATCTCTTATTTATATCTCTCCCACGCTTTTTGTCTCTTTTCTTATCCTATTTCTCTCTAATCTCTATATATATATATATCTATTATCTATTTAATCTCAGACTCTCTCAATCTCTTTCTTGAACTTCTAGATCTCTCTGTCTCTCGATCTATTGTTCTCACAGATATTCTCTCATAGATTTTTCAATCGAAAAAACTCTCTTCCAACTCTTCAAAATAACTCTCTGAAATATCTCCATTTTCTCCAATTAAAATCTCTCTCTCTCTCTCTCTCTCTCTCTATATATATATATATATATATATATATATATATATATATATATATTTCTCTCACTCTATCTCTCTTTCTCTCAATCTAAATGTCAAGGAATCTCTCTCTCTCTCTCTCTCTCCCTTTTTCTTAATGATCAGTAACTCAAAATTTTAATTCTCTTAAATTTATCTCATGCTTTCTCTCTTGTTCTATCGCTCTCATTCTCTCACACTCTCTATTTATTTCTCTTTCTCTGTCTCTCTCTTTCTATAGGTCTATCTATAAACAAAGAAAAGAAAATCTCTATTTCTCGCTCCCAAACTGAATCTCCCTCTCCCCTCTCGAAGTTTAGACTCTCATCCTATTTTTCTATCTCCCATCTCTCTCTGTCTAAAGGACATTCTCTCTTTCTCTCTATTTCTCTCAAATACTCTCTCTCTCTCTATCTATATAACTCTCATAATCTCTCTCTTTCTGTTTATCTTTCTCTAATGCACTGTGTCTCTCAACTCTCTCTCTCTTAAACTCTTATGAATGGATCTCTCTTTTGTCTCTTTCTCTCTCTCTCCTGCTCTCTCTTTCTCTCTCTCTCTATCTATCTCTTTTTTCTCTCTCTCTCTCTCTTACTCACACACAGTTTCTCTCTATATATATATCTCTCTATCTCTCTCTATATATAACTCTCACTCTCTCTCTCTTTCTGTTTATCTTTCTCTCGATTGCACTATGTCTCTCTCTCTCTCTCTCTCACTTACACTCTCTATCTCTTTTTTCTCTCTCTCTCTCTCTTACTCACACACACTTTCTCTCTCTCCCCTGCTCTCTCTCTCTCTCTCTCTCTCTCTCTCTCCTGATTACGGAATGCGGATCTGGTCAAGAACTTTACGGTCACACATCTTTGTAAGGTTTGTTATGAAGGCCTTCAGCTAAAAGGTTCTGCTCACCAAAGAGGAAATACAAGAATCCTTATCAAGGACCAGCGGTCGGGTGGGGCGGATGCAAGTGACTGATAAATTCATTTTAATGGTTTCGATTCTCAGTTCGTTGGTTATTGCATTTCCGTGACTAAATATTAATAAACTTCGATTTCCCCATAGAAACCAACTTGACCCGACCTTACTTTCGACATTAGCACAATGTCATCATCATCAGGGCGTTGTATATTTCAAGACAAATATTGTAGTGGTCATCATTTTCAACATCAAAATTGCTGAAAGTTATTTTTTTTTTACTTGTGAAATACTCGGAATAACATGTATCAACACAGTAATTTTCTCTCTTCCTTTAATAATGACCCCCAAAAAGTTTGTCTAAATTATTCAATGATACATGTCCCAATGCATAGAAATATACATCTTCTATTTTCTTGTGTGTGTGTGTGTGTGTGTGTGTGTGTGTGTGTGTGTGTGTGTGTGTGTGTGTGTGTGTGTGTGTTTGAGGTTTTTTTTTTAATTTCTCTTAAAAATCATCTCTTTGCGTCTGTCTTTGGACAGAGTGCGCTCAAAACATTCTGTCAAAATCTCATCCAACTTTTTTTTTTAAAATTTGATGAAGTGCCCATCCCTCTTAACAGCTGCTTATGGTTATGATCGACTTGAATTTTTTTGCGCTCTCTCTCTTACAGCGCAACTGACGGTTTTTCTACTATGGGGAATACGTGCTAATCTTGGGAAATATCTTGAATCATCTTTTTCCCTCCCCATCTCAAAATAGCAGGACAGACTCTTGTATTCCTCCATTACACTCTGTGCCTCCTCTTCAGTTATAATGTACCATGCGAGATATATGTTTAGGCGATCATATCTTTCGACACATTTTTGACGAGGCTTTTTTCCCGCAGTAGGTTGCCATTTCTCTCTCTGCTCTAAACCAGTTGCCATCAGGCTATAAAAACCAATCTGCCCTGCTATTTACCCATAGATGGAGCGAGAAAAAAGAGGATTCATACCTTTCCCAAGGGTATTAAATACAGAAAGAATGTAATGGTTTGACTGGAATTTAAATTCAGCTCTCGATTCCTCACTCAAGCTGCTATCCATTACACCACCATGCTTGTTCTTCACCTAAGTTATGTTCCATGCGAGATACACGTTTAAGCGATCATGTAATTTTAACCATGACTGACGAAACTGATTTTTTTTCCCGCAGTAGGTTTGCATTTCTTTCTGCGGTCGACGAGTTGCATCAGGCTATATAAAGACTGAAAAAATTATATTCACTTAAGATTAATGGTTGGGAAAGGAATGGATCCTCTTCTTCCCCCACCCCTAAACCCAAACTAAACGTAAATAGCAGGACAGACTGGGTTTTATTATAAAACAGATTAAAAATAAACAAATTTCTTTCAACTTTCCAAATCTAAAAATATCAGTCATTTGACATAAAAAAGTAAGTTTTGTTGAAACCTCAAAAAGAAAAGAAGAGCCATAGCTAAATTTTTTTGTTTATCATGCACAAACAACTTCTTTTAAAACTAAAATAAAATAAAAAATAATTCAGGTTTTCATTTTTTAATTTCTGTGCAGGTTTATCCATGTTTTTGAAAATTGTATTTCGTCTAAAAATGGACAAAGCAGAGGCCCGACCAGTCATTAAGTATCTGCAAAAGAAAGGTATATTTTCTGGTCCAGACACTTGCTGAGGACACCACCTCCTGTGCAGCTGACACACCGGAAATCATTTAGTCCAAATTATTCTGACTGATTACATTCTCCCAATTGCTGCAAAATGTTTTCTAATGTGTGCGTGCGTTCGTGTGTGTGCGTGTTCGCGTGCCTGTGCGCTTATGCGGCCGTCCGTACATATGTGCGTACATGTAAAAGGATATGATTATTTGTCCACACTCTACTTTTTATCTTTTTCTTTTTATCTTTTCTTTCAATTGTAGCCATTTAAACATTCCAGTTTTACTCTCCTAATTGAAGTGTTTTCTTGGGTTATAAAATTTTTTCCATTTTTACATAAATAATATACATATATATATATATATATATATATATATATATATATAGCATCTTCAGTCAAGAACGTTTGGTTGAATAATGTAGACATATGTATATTTATATTTATTTTAATTCTCTCGAATTCACGATCAATTTCTTAGTGTTGTTATTAAACTGTTTAAGAAAGACGATTGAGAAGATTTAAAATAAAAAGAAATAACCAAAACTACGGCGTCTTTCTTAATCAGTTTTGTAACAGCACTAAGAAATTGATTATGAATTATAGAGGATTAAAAAAAAAATAAATATACATAATACGTCTAGATTATTCAACCATATATATATATATATATGTATATATGTATATATATATATATATATATATATCCAGGTAGTCAGTGACCGGTCACGACTGCCAGTTTCAAGTGTTTCTCATGCAATTATCAGGTGGCCATCAAGATCGCTCACGATTACGTGAATGCGCATGAACCTAGCAGTTTTGGTCGGTGTGCAATTTTAGGCAGACTCTATTTGGAGGTGCTTATCTTTTTCTCTGTTCATATATATATATATATATATATATATATATATATATATATATATATATATATATATGTATGTATATATATATATATATATATATATATATATATATTCCATTCTCCCGTCGCATTTGACGTATGAGGGTCAAGCATCTCAGTTCCTAGGGACCGACAGCCAGACACCAGCACATGATTTGATTATAGTGGTGAAGGCATTGTGCAGAACCATCCACGCTTTTTGAAGGGCCGAATACAGATACCCGGTTCACTACAAAGGACCCTCCGAAAGTTTTGAAATCAGAGTTTTCCTTCTCCTAGACCAGTTGCCATCCATTGCTATAGAACACAGTCTGTCCTGCTATTTACCCATAGCTGGTTTCGTAAGTGAATGTAACGAATTTGCTTGTAATTCGAACTCAGCTCCCCGATTTCTCAATCCAAACCGCTACCCATTACCCCGACACATTTGGAATTACGGCACAAACATTTATTAATCTGGCATATGTTAGCAACCCATCTATGTCATTTCTTCACGTAGTTGCCATCAAAGTTGATTAAGTTGTCCAACCGGTGCCCGGGGGGGGGGGCGTAAATGCCTTCTCCGTAGAACATGGATTCAGGCGAGAAGATTCGCTCTTTCACCGCGACAACAACAGCGACATAAGCGTGGAACCATGTTTAAAAACCATTTCACCCAAGCAAAAATTTTAAAAACAACTAAGGTGCAAGGGGTCACTTAACGTCAAGAGAAAGGTCAGTAAAGCATCAGAGTTTAAGGAGACAGAAGACGGCCACTGATGTTACATTAAATATTTTGAAGATCTTATTTGACAGGAAGACGGGAAACGGATAGAGAGTTCCACAAGCGAGAGCCTCAAGAAAAGAATCTGTTCAGCATAGGTTTTAAAATTCGCTTGAAGATGAAACAGAACTAATGCTTTTAATTTAATTCTATAATTAAATTTGAAGTTTTTAGCTTCGGTTTTTGAAACATGGTAATTCCTGTGTAGCGAGAAACCATATTTTAAATGAGTTAATTTAAGTTAAGTGTGTGTAAGAGTGGGCATTTAGATCAACACCGAATGGTGATAGTCTGTTTCCTACTTGAATGCGATACTGAAACAGACTATTGCCAATCGATGTTGAACTCAGTGATCCCGCCTAAAATTACAGACGCTCTATTCAGCAATTTTATTCATAAATATAGCATACCGTTTGTTATTGATTTTGTCGATTTCTCAGTATAGTAGGGTCAGTTGGGTACCGTCTGTGAGAAAAAGAGCACCTTGACGCAATTCATTCCGCCAGAAATTTGGAAACGGTATTCTGTACTGCTTGACATTCGCACCGGAAGCTCCAATACGAACATTTCAGAGTGTTTAGGTGTCAAACAGAGGACAGTGAAGAGGATTCGGAAAGAGTTGGATGAGTCTTATTGTGATTACGAAGGTACAGCAGCTTGGAAAACTCACTCTGGTCGTTCTGATAAGAAAAGAACTTCTAAATTGGTTGGTGAGGGCCTCACACACTCAACACGGGGGCCTACATTAAGTGCCTTGAGAAGGTGGTGCTTCCCTGAGTAAAGAAGGTCGCTACTGGAAGATTATATATCTAGCAACAGGACTCTGCACCATGCCACACAAGCAAGAGTAACCCGATCATGGCTGTTAGCCGATTTCTGCAACCACATAACCCCTTACATTTGGCCACCTAATTCCCCAAACTGCAGCCCCCTTGATTATTTTGTATGGGGAGCAGTTGAACAAGAGACCAACAAAACTCCTTGTAATATCAAAGATAAACTGAAAGCATGGATTATGGCAGCATTCAACAAGGAGACCGTCCAGAAGAGATGCAGGAGATTCTGAAGTCATCTGAAGGCTGTAGTTGAAGACAATGTCGATTTTATGGAATAAATTTACTTTTTAGTATTTCAAGAAAATTTTTGTGTAATTTTGGTAAATATATCTGTTAAAATGAGATGTAAGTGTTATTTTCATTTTTGCCTCATTTAGATGACAATTTATCTATCGCACTCTG